TTATGGTTGAGGATATTGACAATACGGAGTGCTTTGCATATATAGGGACAAGGACATATGGGAAATCTATGTTTCTTCTTTTTCTCAGTTAATCAAAGACCAATCTTTAAAATGGCCTATCTTTAGTACAAAATGGATTATTTACATCTCAGACAATATAACTTATGATAAAGGTGTACTAGTTGTGACAATATGGTATTGCAGGCTATGCAGAGAGCAGTGGAATACTTGAGAAAACTTGTGCTTACCTAAGTTTGGATAATAATAACAGTTCAGAAATACTAAGAACATCTCATTTTTTAATACATGGCACAAAAGCATTTGCAGGAGAATTTGAATATATTAACTATTAATTTGAAGTGTTTTGAATTGATCAGTTTTAAATATGAAAAAATATTTAAATTCAAATGACAATGGAAGACTCATCTTTGGCAGAATTAAACAAAAAAGGGTGTTTATAAATGAAGGACCATTTTTTAGTGAAAAATATATTTATATATCTGTATATACAAAAGAGGATACATATACAGCTACTTTCTCTTAATTCAATGAGAAGAAAGATTTGTACTAATAATGTTTAGACAAGATATCATATCTGGATCTTATACTATGCATAACTACTACAAATACAATAATATGTAATGTATTAATAATTGTAACTGTCCTACTAACCTGCTTTGAAACTCATTGTTGTTTCTTTCTCAATAAAATTTAAAAATATTAATGAAAAGAGAAAGTATTGAGAAAAACTGAAGAGATGTTATTGATCAAAGGGAATATTATAGACTGAAAGTACAAAGCATAGAGTGGGAAAATATATTTATAATACATCTGAAAAAAGAAGTCTTATACACAATACTGAAGATACTTCTGTAGACTAACAAGCAAACAGGTAAATGCCACAAAGAAAAGCACCCATCACAAACTTGGGCAAACACATTTATAAGTCAATAAATGTGAAACCTAAATAATTTCATTAATTACCAGGGAAATGCTAATCAAAATTATAATATGACATCACCACAAAGAGAGAGGATAAATTTGAAAAGACTATACCAAATGTTGTCAAGAACATGGAAAGCTGTCTCATTGCTATCTGTCTCTCCATAAAATTATGGGGAAAAAAAAAGAACATGGAAAGACCCTAATTCTGCACTTTGCTGGTGTTAGCACAATAGTTTTGAAAAATCTTTCACAATACTTGCTGATGCTAAATGCCTATGCACAACTTAGTACACAGCAACTGAATGTCTATGAATATAACAAGATAAATACCTACATACCATCACCAAAAGATGGGAGTTTAAATGTTCAATGCAGTGCCAAAAAGTAAAAAAGTTCCAAACTGGAAAAAACAAAAAAAAAAAGTTCAACAACAGAAAACGACATTGAAAATTCATGCTGTGTGGACAAAATACAAAAGACAAAGATAATAATAAAACAAATTATGCCAACATGCCTCAGATAACATTACTAACATAACATTAAGCAAAATAAGACCAACACATTAGAGGAGTATTCTATAACTCTGTCTTTAAAAGTTTTTAAAAACATAAGGAAATTGCTATAAAAATAGAAGTCAGGGTACAACCTACCTTTGAGGGAAGGAGGGTAAGCAGACAATAGCAGGAGGGTGACTCCTGGGGTCAGTAGTAGTCTATTTTTAATCTAGCTGGCATTAATAGGAGTATACAAATTTGCAGAAAATCCACAGAGTTGTAGAATTTTGTACCTTTTTCTGGATGTATGTTATGCTTCAACGTAAAAGTAACTTAGCCCGGTGTTGTGATTTGCTGCTGCCACTCCCAGTTCTGAGCTCTCCGGGCTTCAGCCGGCAGGCCGGAGCCCTCCTGGAGCCACTTCTGTCTGGTGCTAGGCCTGTCCTCCTCTGCGGGAGTGCTGCCCCCACCAGCCCTCATCTTTTAAGCCGAGCCGTGGGGGCAACAGCAGCAGCGGGAGGAGGAGCCGAGAGGAGGCGGCAGCCGGGAACCCATGGTGTACAGTCAAAGTGGTGGCAAGAAGAAAGTCTGCTTCTACTACGACGGTATTGGAAATTACTACTATGGACAGGGTCATCCCATGAAACCACATAGAATCAGCATGACTCATAACTTGCTGTTAAATTATGGCTTATGCAGAGAAATTGAAATATATAGGCCCCATAAAGCCACTGCCGAAGAAATGAGGAAATACTATAGCGATGAATGTATCAAATTTCTGCGGTCCATACAGTCAGATAACATGTCTGAGTACAGTAAGCAGATGCAGAGATTTAATGTTGGGGAAGATTGTCCAGTGTTTGATGGACTCTTCAAATTTTGTCAGCTCTCCACTGGTGGTGGCTCAGTTGCTGGGGCTGTGAAGTTAAATGGCAACAAACTGATATAGCTGTTAACTGGGCTGGTGGATTACATCATGCAAAAAAATCAGAAGCATCAGGATTCTGTTATGTTAATGATATTGTGCTTGCCATCCTGGAATTGCTAAAGTATCATCAGAGAGTTCTATATATTGATGTAGATATCCATCATGGTGATGGTGGTGAGGAAGCTGTTTACACTACAGATCACGTAATGACTGTTTCATTCCATAATTATAGGGAATACTTTCCTGGCACAGGAGACTTGAGGGACATCGGTGCTGGAAAAGGCAAATACTATGCTGTCAATTTTCCAATGAGAGATGGTATAGATGATGAGTCTTATGGGCAGATATTTAAGCCTATTATTTCAAAAGTGATGGAGATGTTCCAGCCTAGGGTGGTGGTTTTGCAGTGTGGTACGACTCTTTATCTGGTGATAGACTTGGGTGCTTCAATCTCACAGTCAAAGGTCATGCTAAATGTGTAGAAGTTGTTAAAACTTTCAACTTGCCATTACTGATGCTCGGGGGAGGTGGCTACACAATCCATAATGTTGCTCGGTGCTGGACATACATGACTGCAGTTGCTCTTGACTGTGAGATTCTTAATGAGTTGCCATATAATGATTATTTTGAATATTTTGGATCGAACTTCAAGCTGCACATTAGTCCTTCAAACATGACAAATCAGAACACTCCAGAATATATGGAAAAGATAAAACAGCATTTATTTGAAAATTTGGGCATGTTACTTCATGCACCTGGTGTCCAGATGCAAGCTATCCCAGAAGATGCTGTTCATGAGGACAGCTGAGATGAAGATGGAGAGGATCCAGACAAGAGGATTTCTATTGGAGCATCAGACAAGCAGACAACTTGTGATGAAGAATTCTCAAATTCTGAGGATGAAGAGGAAGGAGGTCATAGAAATGTGGCTGATCATAAAAAAGGAGCAAAGAAAGCTAGAATTGAAGAAGACAAGGAAATGGAAGATGAAAAAGAAAAAAACCAGATGTAAAGGAAGAAGATAAATTGAAGGACAGTAGTGGTGAAAAAGCAGATACCAAAGAAGCCAAATCAGAACAACTCAGCAACCCTTGAATTTCAATCTTCCCAATTTTAGAAAGTGATTAAAAAGTGAGAAAATGGGACAAAAAGTTTTCCTTTTCTTTTTGAAGACTTCCAGCTTCATTTTATGCTACTTTGGCATAAAAGCTTCATTTTATGCTACTTTGGCATATGCTACTTTGGTATTTATTTGCAAAATGGCTTTTTTTTGTTTTGTTTTCCTTGGCAAGTTTTATTGTGAATTTTTCTAATTATGAAGCAAGTTTCTTTTATCCACCATGCTTTATGTGATAGTATTTAAAACTGATGTGAGTTATTATGTCAAAAACTGATCTATTAAAGTGACTGGCCTCTCTGAAAAAAAGTAACTTTTATAAAGTCTCCAGAATTTATACAAGGGTCGGCCAAATAGCTCAGCAGATTAAAGCGCCTGCAAGCAGGCACGGGGCCCTAGGGGTTCGATCTCCAAGTCTGCTGGGCTGGCCCCTCCCCATGGGCACGCTGAGACAGCGATTGAGAGTAAGCGTGGTGGCCCACACCTGTAATCCCAGCACTTGGGAGGCTGTAAACAGGATAATCACTACGAGTCCAATCTAGTAGTGAGACCCTGAACACCCTGTAGGCTCTTCTCTAAATTACAAAAAAAGAATTTATACAAACCATGTTCTGAATATAATGAAATTATAAACCAACAAAATTTTTAATAAATTAAAAATTAGTAATTATGGAGATTTAGATTATTTTGGATCAATCTCAAAAGTATTCTTTCACTGCTAATTAACTTATATATAATCAACTTGTAATATGTAGATATTACAAACATGAAGAGTTGGAGTTAACATCTAGGGTGTCCCTGTGAATTAAAGGATAATAATAGCGTACAATATTGGGGCTGTATCCGTGATAAGAAGAAATGGCAACTACAATGCAATAGTAAATAAGGACGCCTGGTGGCGCTGCAGGATAAGACTGGAAGAAATGCTCAGCAAATACCCCGGAAGCCTTTATGCTGTCAATCAGAACTCCGAATGCTCTCTAAGAGAAGGAAGCATTTTAGGTAACATCTAGGGAAGGGGTCTTCTTCAGAAAGGGCACCGTTCTACATGCACGCCAGTCGGCCAGATTTCATTTACTATCATTTAACAAGTCACTTGGGTGGATTGTACACTGAGGTGAGCAAGCTGAACCTTCTGGACCAGATCTGGACAATGGAGACTGCACTAGCAACAACGCTGCACAAAAGGCAAGTCGTTTTTATTGTTGTGCTGTTGTTGTTGTTGTGGGAGGCTGGCTCTGAGGCACTTAGGTATTCGATGCCAGAAGAGACAGAAAGTGGCTACCTGGTGGCCAACCTGGCAGAAGATCTGGGGCTCAGGGTGGGGGAACTGGCCACTCGAGGTGCGCGAATCCATTACAAAGGAAACAAACAGCTCTTGCAGCTCGATGTGAAGACAGGCAATTTGCTTCTACATGAAAAGCTAGACCGGGAGGGGCTGTGCGGGGCGACAGAGCCCTGTGTGGTGCATTTCCAACTGTTACTGGAAAACCCGGTGCAGTTTTTTCAAGGCGAGCTACAACTCATAGATATAAATGACCACTCTCCAGAATTCTCAGAGAGGGAAATACTGCTTACAATTCAAGAGAACGCGCATCCAGGAACTGTGTTCCCTTTGAAAATAGCTCAGGACCTTGACATAGGGAGCAATACTGTTCAGAACTACACCATAAACCCCAACGCCCATTTTCACGTGGTTACTCACAGTCGTGGGGATGGCAGAAAATATCCAGAGCTGGTGCTGGATAAAGCGCTGGACCGGGAGGATCAGGCCGACCTCAGTTTAATACTCACTGCTGTAGATGGTGGGGATCCCCCCAGGTCGGGAACCACCACAGTGCGCATTGAGGTCGTGGACATCAATGACAATGCACCTGAATTTTTACAGTCACTTTATGAAGCCCAGATTCCTGAAAACACGGCCCTGAATTCTATAATTGTCATCGTCTCTGCCCAAGATTTAGATGCAGGTACACATGGGAGTGTTGTCTACACATTTCATGGTGGTGAAGTTATACAACCATTTGCAATAGACAAAATGACAGGAGAAATTCGTTTGAAACGAACATTGGATTTTGAGGAAAATCGGTATTATAGCTTAGAAATTGTAGCCACAGACACTGGGGGTCTCTCAGGGAAATGCACTGTAGCTATAGAGGTGTTGGATGTGAATGACAATGCCCCTGAACTGACCATGTCCACGCTGAGTAGATCTATTCCAGAAAACTCCCCAGAGACTGTGGTTGCCATTTTCAGCATTTCTGATCCAGATTCTGGAGACAATGGTAGGATGGTTTGCTCCATCCAAAACGATGTCCCATTTCTTTTGAAGCCTTCTTTCAAGAACTTTTACACTTTGGTGACAGAAGGACCACTGGACAGAGAAAGTCGAGCTGAATACAACATCACCATCACTGTCACAGACTTGGGGACACCCAGGCTCAAAACCCAGCACACCATAACAGTGCAGGTCTCCGACGTCAACGACAACGCCCCCACCTTCACCCAATCCTCCTACACCCTCTTCGTCCCAGAAAACAACAGCCCCGCCCTGCTCATAGGCACCATCAGCGCCACAGACAGAGACTCAGGCTCCAATGCCCAGGTCACCTA